CTGTGGCAAGAGTGGAGCAGGGATGGGGGCATGGAGTGGGGCGGGGGGGAAGGGTTGGGTAGGGAAGGGGTCCAGTGGGTGGATGGATGATGGATGGATGGATGGATAATGGATGGATGATGGATGGAAGGGCAGATAGGAGGGATCTGGAGTAGCTGAAGCTCCACTGGGCCCAGGGCACACAGGTAATGCCCCCTTAAAGCCCTCCCCCCAGGTAACAACCCCCAGAGTATCCTGCCCCCCCCTACTCAGGTAACCCTCAGCGTAGCCTCCTGCTCAGGTGAGCCCCCCCACCAAGCGACCAATCATGAACCCCTCCTGGAGTTTCCCTACACCCACCCCCCAACTCAGGTAAACCCCCTGGACCTCCCTGGCTCCCCCTCAGGTGACCCCCCTCAGAGCCCCCAGCCAGATGAGGCCCCCAGCCCCTGTTGCTTAGATGACACCCCTCACTCAGGTGGCCCCCCTCAAGTGACCTGCTGGAACCCTTTCTGCTCAGGGACCCCCTTCCCAAGCTTCCACCTCAGCTCCCCCAAGCCCCAGGAGCAACCCCCCTTCAGGTGATCCCCAGCCCTCTCCCCGTTCAGGTGACCCCCATCCCGGCACCCCCCCCCACTGAGGTGCCCCGCCCTGTCCTGCAGACCATCACGGACTCGAGCCCCATGAAGCGCTCGGCGTCCCTGTTGGGCCACTCCCGTGCCCGGGGGGTTCGCTTGGACGATTTCTCGCTGGAGCGCGTCCCCCCACCCGAGGACGGACCGCGTCACCACCCCCGGAGGGGACACCGCGGCCACCGCGCCTCCGAGCGCTCCCTCAGCCGCTACACCGACGGTGACACAGGTGGGACACAGTGGGACACGGGAGGGGACACAGAGGGGAACCCCAACAGGGACATAGGTCCCAGTATCCCCTGGGCCACCCCAACTTCTAATGGGGTCCCCGTGTCCTGTCCCCCCGTGTCCCCTGGGCCAACCCAACTCCAGAACCCCCTGTGCCCCTCCATTCTCCCCTCTTTGTTGTCCCCTGGGTCACCCCATCTCCTGCCCTGTGCCCCCTCCACCTTGTCCCCCCTGACCCCTCTCTGTGTCCACCCCCAGGGCTGGGCACGGACCTGAGCGTCACTACCCAGTCTGGGGATGCCCCTCCACCCAAGGAGCGGGACCCCGAGCGGGGGCGGCCCAAGGACCGGCGGCACCGGCACCACCACCACCACCACCACCACCACCACCACGGAGGGGGCGCGGGGGGGGACCGCGACCGCTGCCCCCCCCCCGAGCGCCACGACTACGGGCGACCGCGGTCCCGCGACCGCCGCTGGTCCCGCTCCCCCAGCGAGGGCCGGGAACACGCGACCCCCCGCCAGGTGGGTGCCCCCCTCCGCTCCCCCCTCCGCCTCTAGGACCACCCCCGCCATGGCGGAGACAAGGGCTGCACCCCCCGTGTCTTTAACCAAAGACCCTCCCCAGCCCCGGGGCGCCCCCATGCCACCCCCCTTGGGTGCTGCTCAGGCTGTGGGGGGGCTTTGGGACAACCCCTACACCGAGGGTCTGCTTGGGGGAGATGGGAAGGTCTCAGAGCCCCCCCCCGTGTGCTCCCCATTGTGCCCGCCCCAGTTTGTACTGGTGGTATCCCAGAGAGCCCAGTTACACCAGCAGAGCCTCCCCAGCACTGCAAGGGGGGGTTTGGCCCCCTCCACCTCGGTGGTCCAGCCCCTACTTCGAGGGTCCAGTGCCCACCTTGGGGGTCCAGCACTCCCTTTGGGGATCCACCCCTCCCATCTTGGGTCCAACTCCCCACTTTGGGGGTCCTTTCCCCCCAAGAGGGGCAGCACCAGTGGGAGGGGATGGGGGTGGGAACCCCCGCAGGGGTCTGGGGGGTCCACGGGGGCGGTGGCGGCAGCGCTTCGACCCCTCCGGATGCCCCCATCCCCTCCCGCTCTCAACACCCCCGCCCACCCTGCCCGCACAGAGCCCCCTCGCTTGGCCCCCGGCCCCCCGGCTGCTCGGGGGGCCTGCCTTGATTCACGTCTCTGTTTCCCCATCGCTGTGCTTTGGCTGCGCTGTCACGGCGAGGGTGGCCCAAATAGCGGCTCGGGGCCCCCCAACATCTGCTCCGGCCCCCCCAGGCTCCGGCCACCCTGGAAAGTTTGGAATGAAGCTGCCGCTCCCCCCTCCCCCCCAAAAAAAATCCCGGTTGTGACCCCAGGAGGAGCCGTTTTGCTGCCCTGGGACATTTTGGGGTGCCCCCACCCCTCTCGCTGCATCCCCCCAGAGCAGGACCTCGGAACCCCTCCAGACCAAAACTGGGGTGTAGGGACCAGCCCCAGCCCTGCACTGGGATGCAGGGACCCCCTCCAGCCCTGTGCTGGGCTGCACAGCCAGTCATGCCCAGGGCTGGGGTGCAGGGACCCCCTAACTAATTTGGAGTGCAGGGACCTCCCGAGCCCTGTTTTGGGGTGCAGGGAACCCCCCTCCCAAGCCCTGATTTGCAGTGCACACCTGTATCAAGGGTCTCTACTCCCCCAGCGGGGTTTGGGGGCTCCCCTCTAGTCCGGTGGGGGGGAGCACAGACCCTGTGCTGAGGTTTTGGGGTGTACAGACCCCCTCCAGCCCTGGGTTGAGGCTTAGTCCGGCCAGGGGGACAATATTGAGGTACATGCCCCCACACACTCTGAGATAGGTTTGGGGTCCTCAGCACCTCAGTTTGGGGTGCACAGACAACCCCCTCAGAGGCCTGAATTGGGGGTGACAGCCCCCTGCCCCCCTCCCCCAGTAATGGGGGTCCCATGCACAGAGGTCCCCAACAGGGGCACATGGACCCCCCAAACCCGGGTCCCTGCAGGTACTGATTGGGGTTCACCTCCAGGTAACAGGTCCCAGATTTGGGGGGGTGACGCTCCCCAGGACCCCCAGATTTGGGATACAGGGTCCCCCCTCCAGGCTGATTCTTCCAAACTTCTCCAGCCCCTGCTTCCCTCACTCCCCCTGCTGACCCCCCCTGACCCCCTCCCACGAGCTTTGCCTTGCGAGTGGCTTTGGGGGGACCCAGCGCCACTCCCTTCCCTCCCCCTGACCCCTCCGATCCCCCTGCACCCCCCGCCGCTGCCTCCCGCCCCCACCCCGTGACACCTGTCTCATTTCTGTCCCCTCTGCTCTCCTTTGTCTTCTCCGTGTCCCCCAGTCCCCACTGCCCCTCCCTGCGTCTGCATGGCCCGTGGCTGTGCCCCCCGCCGTGGCTGTGCCCCCTCAACGCCCCGCCGTGCCCCCCAGGGTCCCCATCGCCCACCTCCACCGGGTCCCCCATGTCCCCTCCCCGTGTCCGTGTCCCCGCACCCCCGTGTCTGCATTGCCCGTGGCTGTGCCCCCCTCAATTCCCCCAAACACGTATCCGTGTCCCCCCCGTGTCCGTGTTCCCCCGCCCCCTCCCGCGACCCTTGTGTCCCACCGCCCCATGTGCCCGACTGCCCCCTCCCAACCCCCATGTCCCCCTACATCCCTCCTCCGTGTTTCCCCCACACGCTGTCCCTGCCGCCGTCCGTGGCCGCCCCACCACATCCTTTCCCCCGTGCCTCCGCGCCCCCGTGCCCCCGCCGCCACCCCGGTGTCGCTGTCGCTGCAGGGCAGCAGCTCGGTCAGCGGCAGCCCGGTGCTCTCCACGTCGGGGACCAGCACCCCGCGGCGCGCCCGCCGTCAGCTCCCGCCGACCCCCGCCACGCCGCGGCCCCACGTGTCGTACTCGCCCGCCGCCCGCCGCCCCCGCCCGCCGCACCGCCCCCGCCCGCGGCCCCCGCCGCCCTCCGCCGGCCCCTGCGGCCGACCCCCGCCCGCCGCCCGCCCCTCCGCCCGCTGGCCAGAGACCCCCCGAGGGCCCCGCGACGCGGAGCCGCCACCGCCGTCGCTCGACGGGCGCGCCCCCCGCGCCCCCCGCGGCACCGGGACCCCCGGCGGCGGCGGCCCGTCCCCCCCCAGGCCCGGCCGGCGGCTGCCGAACGGGTACTACCCGGGCCACGGCGCCGGGAAGGGGCGGCCCGGCCTCCGCGACCCCTACAGCGAGACGGACGATGACTGCTGCTAGCGGCGTATATCGCGACATGACGCGACAAGGGCGCGTATCGCGGCGGGGGGGGTGGTCGTCGCCACACACACGTCCCCCCCCCGCCCGCTCCCGGGGCTATGGATGAGTTTTATCATCTGGAGGAGCCGCCGCCGCGGGGGGCGACCCCGGGGAACCCCCCGAAATCCATCCCCCCGAACAAACCCGGGGGGAGCCCCCGGCCGGGAGGAGCCGCCGGGGCGGGAGCGGAGCCCAAGGAGGCTCCGGGGTGGGCACCGGGAACGGGAACCGGGAACGGGCACCGGGAATGGGCACCGGCCCCCCCCGCCCGAGGCACGGAGGCGGCGGAACCGGGGCCGCCGCCAATTGCATGAACAGAGTTACCGAAACCAGAAATAAAAGATTAAAAAAAAAAAAAAAGGACAAAAAAAAATACAACCCCCCCCAAAACAAAAAAAAAAACCAACCTGAAAATCCCCCAAACCGAAACCATTAAAAAAAAAAGGAATTTTGGATCGAGCCCGTCTCGCTCCTTCCTGGGATCGGGGCAGGGGGCACCGAGGGTCGGGTTGGGGGGACACACAGAGGGGGACACACGCATCCACGGGGGCTCTGCGCCCCCCCAACCCAACCCAGGCCCGACGTCGCGGGGACGGACGGCGGGACCCCTCCGGGACGCTTCGGTAACCGTCACCCCCCCCTCCCACGTGAGCAACACGCGGACCTTCCCGGAACCGGGGCTGGTCCCCTGCCCCCGCATCCTGGTCGCGGGGGGGAAAATGAGGCGGGGAAAGGTGAGCGATTCCTGCAGTTCAACCCCCCCGACCCATCAGAAGATCCAGCGGACACCCCCCTCCCCCCCAAAGCCCTGTTTCCCCCCCCGAAATCGAGGAGGGGGTCACAGCGACACCCCGTCCCCAAACTTTCCCCGAGGAAGCGGCTGCACAAACCCCACTTTTATTTAATTAACAAAATAATAATTAAAAAACAATAAGGGGAGGCAGCCTGGAGCCCCCTCCCCCAAGCGCGGCAGTCACCGGGGGATGCCCCACCGGGACCCTCAAGAGTCCACGTGTCCCAGTTCAGTTCCGTCTGTCCCGAGCGGGGTTCCCACACCAGTTCCGTGTGTCCCCGGGGGGTCCCCATCCAGTTCAGGGAGTCCTGAGGGTCCCTGTCCAGTTTCACGTGTCCCGGGGGGAGAGGGGGGTCCCGTACCAGTTCCGTGTGTTCTGGGGGAAGGGGGGGGGTGTGTCCCCCCATCCACTTTGGGGAGTTCCGGTGCCAGTTCCGTGTGTCTCTCTCCGTTAGTTCCGTGTGTCCTGGGGGTGTATCTCCGTGTTCCCGGGGGTCTCCGAGGGCCCCCGGGGGGGGTCTCAGCACGCCCCGATGGCGCGGACCAGGAGCCCGAAGGCAGCGGCGGGAGGCCCCGAGCAGCGCCCGGGCGGCCCCGGGGACACCGGCACCGGCGGCTCCTCCGCCTCCAGCCGCGCCCGTTTGCTCGGGACCGGCCCCGGCTCCGGCCCCGGCGAGCCGCCGCTGCGCCGCTTCCGCCCGGCCCGGGAAGCTCCGGGAGGCCGGGGAGCTCCCGGGGCAACGCTCGGGTGGTCCCGAGGGGGCGGCAGCCTCGGAGCGCTGGGCGGGTCACGGTCCCGACTCGAGGAGTCCTGGGGGGGGTCCCGGTTCGCAGGATCCGGGGTCTGTGGTGTCTGCGGGTCATCGGTTGGGGCGCTCGGGGGCTCCCCGGTCGGTCGGTTCGGGGGGTACCCGGTCGTGTCCATCGGGGAGTCTCCCCGGTCCGAGGCGCTGCGGGGGTCCTCGGTTAGGTCCCTCGGAGGGTCCCTCCGTTTCCGGCCGCTGTGAGGGTCCCCGGTCAGTCGGATGGGGTCCCAGGCGCTGCGGGGGTTCACGCTCGTGTCCATCGGGGGGTCCCCTTGATCTGGGGCGGTGCGGGGGTCCCTGTTCGTGTCCATCGGGGGGGCCCCTCGGTGCGGGGCGGTGCGAGGATCCCCGTTAATGTCCATCGGGGGATCGCAGGCGGTGCGGGGGTCCCCGCTCGGGCCACTCGGGTGGTCGCAGGCGGTGCGAGGATCCCCGGTCGGTCGGTTCGGGGTGTTCCCCCGTTCTGGGGTCTCTCCGTACGCCGTGTCCCCGGGCGGTGCCGGCCCCGGGGGGATCCCGGCGGCAGCGCGGGCGCTCAGGTATCGGTGGCGGGCGGCGCGGACGAGCAACGAGAGCTGGAGGCTCCGGTGCAGGCGGAGGCCCCCCCGCCGCACCCGGCACCGGTAGAGCTTCCACACCGACACCGTGAGCAGCCGCTGCGCCTCCTCCATCGCGACCCCGCGCCCAGTGCACCGGGGCGGCCCCACGCCCGCTCTTGTACCGCCCGGACTCCTCAGATCCATCCCTCCCCGCCACCGCATCCGGCCCTGCGGCCGCCCTTCGACCGCCCCCCCGCCCTTGCACCGCCCCGGGCACCCCCCGATCCCGCCCCCCTCCCACTCCGTTCTTTTACCACCTCGGACCCCCCCAGAACTCCCCCGCCACCGCATCCGGCCCCGGGGCGGCTCAGCCCAGCTCAGCGGCGCCGGGGACGGAAATGGGTCAGGGGGCTGGGGGAGAATGGGGGGGAGTTGGGAGGGCTGTGTCCACTGCCGGGGGGGGCTCCCTGGGATCCCCTGTGGGTTGGGGAGGGTCTGTACTCCCATGGACTGGGGGGCATGTGCTTTCCGCGATGGATTGGGGGTCCCCCGCGGTGGGGGCGGTTCCTTGTTGCCCCCCCCCGTGAATTGAGGGGTCCCTGTGCCCCCCATTTGCTCGGGGGAGTGTCCCCGTGCCCTCCCCGTGAACTGAGGGGGCCCTGTGCCCCCCATTTACTCGGAGGTGTCCTTGTACCCCCCTCCCCGTTTCCTCTCCCCGCCGGGGATCTCCGGGCCCGCCCGCTCGAGCGCGCGCCGCTTCCATGCCCATATAAGGGCACGGGAAGGGAAAGCGGTGGAACGGCGAGAGCGGCGGGCGGCGCCGCTTCCGCCGGTCCATATATGGGCAAAAAGGGGCGGGCAAAGCCCGAGACCGGAACCAAAACCGGGCCTTGCACGAGTGTCGCACAAGTCCGGGGCCCTCGCGCGGGCACCGGGGCCTTGCACAAGCACCAGGTCTGGCACGAGCCTTGCAAGAGGACCGGGCTCCTGCAGGAGCCTTGCACAAACACGAGGCCCAATACAACTCTTGCACGACCCCTGGGCCCCCCTTGCACGAGCCCCTCCCTCCGCCCACCCCAGGCCTTGCACGAACCCCCATCACCCCCGCCCACCCCCGCGTGTGTTCGGGGGTCCTAGGCAGGGGCTGTTACAAACTCTGTGTTTATTTTCACTATTCACACGCTCCCTCGCGCCCAACAGCAGTTCATGTGCAACCTCCAGCGTCGGGGGGCTCGGGAGAGGGTCCTCGGGGGGCTCTGGGGGAGGCCAGGGGGCTCCCGAAGATCCCCAGGGTGTCCAGGGAGCTCCAGAAGGTTCCCCAGGGGGGCTCCAGAGGGGGTATGGGAGAATCCGGGGGACTCCAGAAGGGTCCCCAGGGGACTTCTGAGGGGGCCCAGGGCAGTCCGGAGGGGCTCTGGGGGAAGTCCAGGCAGCTCCGGGAGAGTCCCCGGGGGGGACCTCTGGAGGGGTCCCGGGGGAAACCCGGGGGTAGGGGTCTTGGCACTTCATTACACAGGACAGACACTGGGGGTCCCGGGGGAAGCGCAAGCCCGGTGGGTGGGGGGGGTCCATGCTGCCACGCGGCCCCCCCCCTTCTATACAGCTTTGGGGGGCCAAAAGGAGAGAAAGGGGCAAAGAAACAGCTGGGCCCCGTTTTTTGGGGTGGGTGTTCGGGAGGTGGGGGCACAGTGACCCCCCTCCCCCACAGGGCTGAGACTGGCAGAACTCGTCACACAAACGGGAAACTGAGGCACGGGGGGGGTGCAGGGGGCACACCCAGGCATCCACGAGGGTCTAGGGGGAGGTTTGGGGGAGTCCCTGTGCCCCCAGCCCATGCTGGGGGGGGTAGGGGGCAGCAGAGACACAATTAGAGCCCAGGGGAGGGGGCGGGTAAGGCACTTGACCGAACGTCAGGAGACCTGGGGGAGTTCGGGAAGGGGAACACCTGGAGAGCCCCCTGCAATGAGTGGGTGGGAGGGGGTTGTCAAATGGTGCCTCAGTTTTCCTGTGGGAGCAAAGCCGGAGCAAAGCCCTGGGGGCCCTCCTGACCCCCCTCCCACCCGACCCTCCCCCTGCAGAGGTGGGACCCCAACCTGAGCACCCCCAGAACCGCTCCTGCTCGCCTGTAGTCCCTGCTCAGCCCCCACCCCGGGTCACACATCCCCACCCCCACTAAGGACAGACCCCAAGATGGGGGGGAGAATGATGGGGGACTCCCCAGTTTGGAGGAGCCCAGACCCACTGGGGTGTCCCAACCTCATTTTGGGGGGGTTCTGGCTCCTTGGGGGGACATCCCCTTTGTGCCAGGGGAGGGGGGGGGGGGCCCAAACACAGGTGTCACCCCTGTGGGAGAACACACACCAACAGGTGACCAGGGGGGCGACACGGGGTCACCTGGGGACACTCCAGCCTTCGGAGGGACACAGGAAGGACACATGCTGGGGGGGATGGGGGTCCCTGAAGGGGACACACAGGACAGGGGGGACACGGGGGGGACACACACATGCAGGTGCCTGCAGAGACAGTGGCCCCGGGGGGAACACGATGGGGGGGACATGGGGGCCACACGGGCGGTCCAGGAGTCACACTGGCCCCAGGGAGGGGACATGGGACCCCCAGAGCCCAAGCTGAGACCCCCCCACAGGTCCCCCAAAATGTGGCCAGTTTCTGGGCAGCTGCCCAGAAACCGCTGCCCTCTCCAAGCCCCCAAAGCCCAGGGGGGCACCAGACCCCCGAACTGGGGGGGGATCCCACAGTGGCACTGGGCATTGCTGGGGGTCCCTGCCCCAGGGGGTGCCTGTGGGGGGGTCCCTAAACCAAAGGGGTCCCTGGTTGGGGGGTCCCTGCCCCATTGGGGCAGGGGGGTCCATTTGCAGGGGTCCCTAAATCAAAGGGGTCCCTGCTTGAGGGGTCCCAGCTCCTGGGGATCCCCATCTGGGGGAGTTCCTGTCATCCCACGGGTGGGTCCCAGTCCCTGGGGCTGCTTGTCTTGGGGGTCCCTAAACCAAAAGGGTCCATTTCTGGTGGGGCCCTGTCCCATGGGAGGGGTCCCTGCCCCTCGAGGTGCCCATTTTTGGGGGGTCCCTCCACCACAGCAGTCCCCACACCTCCCTGAGGTCCTGGCCAGTGGGACCCTGACCCTGGGGGTGCCCAGGTGGGGGGTCACTGTTTGGGAGGTCACAACCCTTGTGGGTTCCCAGTTGGGAGGGTCCTGTCCCATGGGGGGGTCCCTGTCCCATGGTGGGGGTCCCTACCCCGGGGGCCCCTGTTTGGGAGGAGTCCCTACCATTGGGGGCTCCATTTAGTGGGGGGGTGGGGGGGTGCCTCCACCACAGGACTCCCCCTACCCTCCCAGCATGGGTCCCCCTCCACTGGTGGGGTCCCTACTCCTAGTGGTCCCCTGTCCCATGGAGGGAGGTCCCTACCCCCGGGGGGAATCTGTCTGGGGGGTTCCCTGTCCCATGGGAGGACCCTACCCCTGGGGAGACCTGTCTGGGGGTGTTCCCAGTCAGGGAGGCTCCCAGGGGGTTTCCCCAACCGTCCCAACACAGGTCCCCCCTTCCACCCTCCCCATCGGGGGTCCCTAGGGTGGGATCGGGGGGGGGCACTGCAGCCCCTCCCCAGGAGGAGGCCCCTCTGGCTCAGGCCCCCCTGCCTCAAAGGGGGGCTCTGGGCCCATGATGTCGGGCTCCAGCTTGCCGGTGTCGTTGATGAAGGAGGTGTAGGAATCGCCCTCAGCCATGAGCAGTTTGAGTTTGGGTATCCAGCTCTTGCGCACGACCCGCCGTGCGTTCGTGCACATGTCGGCCGCGATCGCGTTCATCTCGCTCTCCTTGAAGTCGGGGGCGAAATTCTGGCAGTAAACTGGGGGAGGAGGGACACAGGCAGGGGCTCAGGGAGAGGCTTGACTGGGAAAGAGCAGCTGTGGGGTCTCCCCCCTCGTCCTCTCCTGTCCTCTCCTTAGGGCTGGGAAACCGCAGGCATGGGGGGGAGTTGTGTTGTGTTGGCACCTCCCGGGGGTACCCCCAGCCTTGGGGCTGTAAACTTGGGGGGAAACGTGGGGAGAGGTTCTTGGGCTGCAAAAGCACCCCGAGGCTGTTGGGGGTCGTGGCAGAGCTCAGGGAGTGGGTTGGGGAGAGGTTTGGCTGGAAAAGGCAGCTGTAGGGTTTCTTTCCCTGTTCCCCTCTTGGCACAACATTATCCCTAAAAACCTCCTTCCCTGGGCCCCCGAACCCCAGGCCCCTCCCATTCCTAGGGTGCTCTCATAGCCTCCTGACCCCCAAATTCCCAAGGTGCTCCCTTGTGTCCACCTGAGCCCCCCAGGCCCCATGTGCCCCTCTCATTCCCAGGGTGCTCTCAGGGCCCCTCGAACCCAGCCCAGCCCCGTGGAGAGGCCCCCACTCACACTTCACCGCGTGCAGCACCCGACTGTCCAGCGGTTTTCGACTGGGGTCGTTGCTGGATGAGCGGATCCCGGTTCCGCAGCTGTTGGCCAGTGTGTTCCTGGAGGAGGGGGGGTACAACCGCTGTAAACCCCTCCCCAAACCCTCCAGGACCCCAAATGGGGGATGGGGGACCCCCGGAGCCGCTCACCGGTCGAAGAAGGAGGCGAGAAGGCGGCGCAGCAGCACCTTGTGCCTTGTGCCCGCGCTGACGTGGCAGTTCATGAGCTGCGCCCGCGTGATGAACACGTTGGTGCCTGGGGAGGGGGCACGGGGGGGGGGTCAGCAGGGCTGAGGGAGGGCCCCTGAACCCCCCGGGGACCCTCCCTCCGTACCGGTGATGAGCTCCAGCTTCTCAGCAGGGTCCCCCTCGTCGTAGAGCTTGGGGTGGCAGCGGTTCCCAATCTGGGTGACAAGCTCGGCCGGCAGCGATGCCAGGTCCTGGCGCACACGGAAGCGGGCACGGGGCTCTGGGGGGGGCTGCTCCGGCAGGGCCTCCACCTTCTCCGAGGCTGGGGGGGCATGGCAGGGTCAGGGGGGGTCACTGAGGGGTGGCACGGGGTCATACAGGGGGACACAGATCCCAGGGATGCACTCCAGTCCAGCCACAGGACTCCAGGGAGGGACTGCTTGGGCAGGGCCTCCACCTTCTCCAGGGCTGGGGGAGCACAAGGGGGTCAGAGGGGGTTCACAGAGATGGACAGACCCTGGGGATCTCCCCCCTGAGTCTTGGGGGGTCTCTGATGTGCCCATGGAGGATGGAGGGGGTCAGGGAGCTCACCTGTTGTGACCACGCCCCCCATGGGCAGAGCCTCGTGTCACCACAACCCCTACAACCCCCTCTTCACCCAAACCTCACCCCCTGGGGCGGAGCTTTATCACCCCCAACCCCAGCAGTGGGATCTCATTGGCTCACAGCATGTGGGCAAGACCTAGCTGGCCACACCCACGTGTGACGACACCTCCCACCAACACACACCTGTTCCCCAAACCCGACTGTTCTCACACCCAATGGGTGGGGCCTCATCTGACTCCACCCCAAGGGCGTCTGCCCCAACACCACCACCCCCCACCGCCCCTGGGGTCTCACCTGCCATGCCCACGTTCATCATGCTGTACATGGTGTACATGTTGCAGATCTGCCGATACTGCTCATCTGAGCCTTCCTCACCCCCATCCTCCTCCTCATCCTCCTCGTTGTGGAAGGACCCGGGACTGTCGCTCGTGTAGGCGCTGGACGTGCCCCCGGGGCTGGTCTGGTCAGCCACGGGTGGCACCGGGGTGGGCGCCGGGGCAGGGTTGGCTCCAGGGGGGTTGGGCGGGCGTGGGGCTGCGGCGGCGGCGTCCGAGAATTTGGCCATTTTCCTGCTGCCGTTGCCCCCGGCGTCCTTGGGCCCCCCGTCCCAGAGCCGCTTGAACACGAAGGTGCACTGGACGCCGTCGGGCTCCCCCTGCTCCGTTTTCACCCGGGACACCAGGGGCAGCGCCCAGCCCTGCCCCGCCGACGTCTGCGCCACCGGGCTCTGCGGCTCCGAGCCCGGCGTGTCGTCGCCGTGCAGCCCCTGCGAGTCGCAGCTGGGCGAGCTGACCTTGAGGAAGAACTCAGTGCCCTTCTCCATGATCTCCTGGATCTGCAGGAAGCCCGCCGTGTACATGAGCAGGAACTGGTCGCCCACGTTCATGCTCAGGCGGCCGGTGTAGCAGAAGCTGAGGATCTGCTGGAAGGACTGGGGCTGCACGGCCGCCGGCAGCTCCACCACGGCGCTCTTGGAGCTGTGGAACAGGTCTCGGAAGTAGGAGCTGCTGGCGGCCAGCACGGCCCGGTGGGCCTTGAACGCGTGGCCCTTCACCACCACGGACACGTCGCAGAACAGCCCCTGCAGCCGCTGCTCGTTCAGGCACTCCAGGATGCTGTTCCCAAAGTTGGGGATCTCCATCTGCAGCGTCTGCGCCATGGTGGGGGGCACGGGGAGCCTGGGGGGGACAGGGGGAGGGGCAGGGACCCGGGGAGGAGTGGGAAACATGGGTAGGGAAGGAGGGCAGGGAACATGATGAGGGACACGGAGGGACAGGGGACATGAGGAGACAGGGCAGGGGAGGGGCAAGGGACACAGCAGGGACGTGGTGTGTGTGGGGGACACAGACACAGAGCCAGGAGGAGAGAGGGAGATGGGGGAAAATGTGGGAAAAGGGGCATGGGGAGGGGCAGGGGACATGGGCGGGGACAGGACATGGGAGGGGGGGACAGGACATGGCGGGGGCACCAGAAGGGACAGGGACAGACAAGGGACAGTGATCAGACACAACCCTGTGGGGGTCCAGCACCCCCACCCGAGGGGGGGGACACCCTGAATTCCCCCCCCAAAGCCCCCACCAAAATGGGGTATTGGGAAGGGAGTTGGGGGGGAATCAGAGGCCCCTCTAAAGACCAGGGATCCTGCAGGGGTGTCCCTTTTGTGGGGGGTCCCTGCACGGGGGAGGTTCCCCGCCAAGGCTGTGGGGGCTCTGAGGGGTCCCCAGTCCTGGGGAGATGGGAGGGTGGTGGGTTGTCAGGCCTGGGACCCCCTGGGGTTGGGCACAGAGAGAATCCCCCCTCACTTTGGGGAGACGGAGGGTCCCACCCCCTGGATTGGGGGCAGTCTCTGGGGGGGGCAATGGGGGCCCCAAAATTTTGGGGGTGATTGTCAGTAAATCCCCCAACCCCTTGAGGGCACAATGAGGGCAGACCCCACTGCCTGGACTGGGGACTGAGAGGACCCCACAGTCTCTGGGTGGGGTCAATGGGGGGGCCCAAATAGTGGCGAAGGTCTCGGTAAATCCCCCAACCCGGGGTGGGGATACAGCGGGGGGACCCCAAACCCTGGTGGGGAGGGTCTCTAAACACTGCATCGCCCCAATCCCGGGGAGGGGAGCAACGAGGAGGTCCCAAAATTCTGGGAGGAGGGATGCCAATAAATCCCCAACCCGTGGTGGTGTGTGTGTGTGTGTGTGAAATGGGGGTACCCCAAAACACGCCGGGGGGGGTATAAACAGCGCAGCCCCCCAATCCCGAGGGGGATCCCACATCCTTAGGGGGGGATTCACCGCAAGGGGGGCTTGGGGGAAGCACCTGAGGCCCAGGGGTACCGGGGCGGGGGGAGGGGGCTGAGCAGGCCCGGCGGGGCCGGATCGCGGGGAGAGGGCCGATCCCAGGGGGATGTGCGGCAGGGCCAGGGGGTCCCCGCCTTACCGGGGGGCGCGGGGGCTGCGCTGGGGCCGCTCCCGGACCCGCTCCCGGTGCCGGAGCCGCTCCCGGAGCCGCCGCGCTCAGCGGCCATTCATTGGAGCGCCAGGCGCGAGCAGCTGAGCGCAGAGCGCGCCTGCGCCCCGCCGGCAGAGCGCCGAATCATCCACCGCCCTCGGCGCGCACCGCGGTGGTGCGGGGGAGACACAAACCCACCGAAAACAGAGCTAAAACACGTCTGAAAAAGGCAGAACACGGGCCGGAAACAGGCCTGAAATAGGCAGAAAGCGCGCCTGAAGCGGGCGGAAAACAGACCTATCACAGGCCTGAAACAGACTGAAAATGCAAGGGGGAAAAAAAGAGGGTCGTAACTACCGGGATTGCCCCCACCCGCGGTCGCGGGCGGAAGTTTTATGACCCTGTGCGGTCCCCGTAGCCGTCGGGGTGTCACGTGACCGCGCCAACATGGCGGCGCCCATCTGAGGGCGCCGGGGATGCGCGGGGCGGCGCGCGCGGGTGAGGAGGGGGCGCGGGGGGACGGTGAGGGGGCATTGGGGGACATTGAGGGGGCGCGCCGGGACACAGCCGAGACACCGGGGAGGAGCCCGGAGGAGGCGGGGCCTAGAGGAGGCGGGATTGAGGGTCCCCCGCTCCCCGGCCTTGTCGCGTGCCACGTGCTGGGGGAGTTTCTGTGTCACCATTTTCGGGGGGCTCACCCCCACCTCCCCGTCGCGGGGGTTCCGTGTCCCCCTCCCCCAGCTCAGCCCCGCTGCCCCCTCCCCTTTCCCCGCCTCTTTCTCCCTCTTTGGGGGTCTCCACCCCTTTCCTCGCCCTCCCCCCCATCCCACGGGGCGCTCCCAAAACCGCCCCATTTCCCCCCAAACCGGCTCCGGTGCGGCTTTAACCTCCCCACCCCCAGGAACGGCCCTCAGGACCCTCTGCAGAGCCCCTCCCGCCCCACCTCGCGGCCCCCCCGCCATGGACGGATCCTCCTCCCCCCACAACGGCTCCGCGTCCCCCTCGGAGGGGTCGGGGGGAACCGCAGGGGGGTCTGGGGCCCCCTCCGGGCCCGGGGAGACGCTGATCACGGAGGGCAAGGCCACCATTGTGTTCCCGAGCGCCAACGAGGTGTTTTACAACCCCGTGCAGGGCTTCAACCGCGACCTCACGTGAGCCGGGGGGGATAGTGGGGGACCCGGCGGGTCCTGGGGAGCCCTGAGGGGCAGAGGGGTGTCGCGGGAGGGGCAGGGGGGCTCCGAGGGGACCCCTGCCCCGGGACCTCCTGTAGGGGTCCGGGGGGAGCTCCAGGCTTGCTTTTGGGAGTCTGGGGGGGCTCCGAGGGGATCCCGAGTTGTCTTGGAAGGGTCCTGGGGGGTCCCAGAGGGATCCTGGGGGGAATAATGTTGTCACAGGAGGAATGTGGGGGGGGTCTGTGGTGTTGAGGGAGGATTTTCAGGTGTCCTGGGTTGGCCCTGGGGGTCTCTGAGGTGCCCTGGAAGACCCAGAGGAGAACTGGGGTCCCTGACCCCCCTTTTTTCCCCAGCTGTGCCGTCCTGACGGAGTTCGCGCGGCTGTGGCTGCGCCTGAAGGGCATCCAGGGTACGGTGGGTTTTGGGGTCCCCCAGGATCCCCCTTGACCCATCCCTGGGGGTCCCTGTCTCCTGTGCCCTCCCAGACCCCATTTCTGGGGTCCCCAAGGCTCTCCCACAGCCCTCCCCCTTTCTTTTCCAGTCATCCTCCCTGGGGAAGAAGAGGAGCTGGTGGGGGGGAGTCCCCCTAAACCCCCCGAGGCTGGGGAACTCCCCAGTCCCCCCCACGAGGGTGGAGACCCCTCAAGAGCCCTTGAAACCCCCCGGATGGCACGGCCGGGAGAGGCCTGTGAGGTGAGGGGGGGGCTGGGGAGGCAGGAGGGGTGTTGGGGGTGTCTGGGCAGTTTTGGGGGGCTGTGGGGATTTGGGGGTGCAGTGAGGAGTGGTCCAGGCCCTTCTGATCTCCCCCTTACCCCCCCTGTGCCCTCCAGGGTGGGCTGCGGGTGCTGGAGGCCCTGGCAGCCTCGGGGCTCCGCTCCATCCGCTTTGCCCGGGAGGTGCCCGGGCTCGGGGCCGTCGTGGCCTGTGACCGCTCGGCCGCCGCCGTCACAGCCATGGCCCGGAACGTGGCCCTCAACGGCGTTGGGGGGCTCGTCACCCCCCACCTGGGGGACGCCAGGTAACGAACGCCCCCCAGCCCCTCTGCAAATCCCTTCCGAAGCTCCCCTAATTCCCCCCCAACCCTCCCCAAAACCATCCCGACCTCCCCTCCCCAGAAGTCCCCCAAACAGCCCCTCTTCCCAAATTCTCCAGACTGTTGACGTGTCAGGGGGTGCTGAAGACCCCCAAGGGGACTTTGGGCGTCCCCTGATCCCCCCTGCCCCCGCAGGATGTTGATGTACCAGAGCAAGGCTGACCGGGAGCCCTTCGATGTGATCGACCTGGACCCCTATGGGAGCCCCTCCCCTTTCCTGGACGCGGCTGTTCAGGCCGTGAGCGAGGGGGGTGAGTGGGGGCGGGGGCTTGGGGGACCCCCCGGATGCCCTCTCAGCCCCCTCTGACCATCCCCCAATTCCCCAGGGCTGCTGTGTGTGACCTGCACTGACATGGGGGTGATGGCCGGGAACAGCCCTGAGACCTGTTACAGCAAATACGGGGCCATGTCCCTCAAGGGCAAGTTCTGCCACGAGATGGTGGGTCTGGGGGGGGCCCCCGGGGGTCTAGGGGGGTGTCCTGGGGCTATCCAGACAGGTCCCAGTGTCCCCAGGGAATGGGGGATTAGGGGGGTTAAGGAACATCCTGATTTTCCCCACCGCACCCCAATTATGGGACCACTTAAGGACCCACCAGTGCTGGGGGGTTCTGGGAGGACCCTGGGGGGTTTTTTGGGGTCCCCATCATCCCGGGACCCCCCTTTGCCTCCAGTGTCCCAGGGAGGGCTCAGGGCACATCCTGTCCCCTCCCCAACTTCCCCCAGTTCTGGGACCCCACCAGTCCCTTCCAGTTCCCCCCCAGGTCCCTGGGGGGGAACTGTGACCCCAGTGGGGGGTCCCACATGCCCCGTGCCCCCCCAGGCCCTGCGGATTGTCCTGCACAGCCTCGATCTCCGGGCCAACTGTTACCAGCGCTTCGTGGTGCCGCTGCTCTCGCTCAGCGCCGACTTCTATGTCAGGGTGTTCGTGAGGGTCTTCACCGGCCAGGCCAAGGTCAAGGCCTCAGCCAGGTGAGGGCCTGGAGGGGTTTGGGGGGGGTCTCTTTGCCCGCTCAGGCCCCATGACCCCCCTGTTCCCCCCCTCCCCAGCAAACAGGCGCTGGTGTTTCACTGCGTGGGCTGCGGCTCCCACCACCTGCAACGCCTGGGAAGGGCCACGACCCATGGCAATAGGTACAGATCCCCTCTGGGGGCACCTGAGGGGCCCTGGCTAATCCCTGGCGTGGTCTGGGGGGTCCCAGGGTGGATGGGGGCATTCCTGGGGTGGCTGGGGGGGAGGCTGTGATGGTTTGGGGGGTCCTGTGGTGGTTTGGGGCACCCCTGGAGTGGTTTGGGGGATCCCAGGATGGTCTGGGGCATCCTGGGGTGGTTTGGGGGGAGCCAGGGGTGGGTGGAGGGGCTGTGATGGTGGGGGGGCTGCTCACACCCCAATTTCCACACCCCCCCCAGTTTGAAGTTCGGGGCGGCCTCGGGGCCCCCCGTGGGTCCCACCTGCGAGTTCTGCCACCACCGGCACCAGGTGGGTGCAGGTGCCCCCCTGAGCCCCCTGACCCCCCCTGGTGCCCCCATTTCCATCACTGAACTTCCCTTTTCTCTCCCTGTGACCCCCCAGCTGGGGGGTCCCGTGTGGGCGGAGCCCCTGCATGACCCCGAGTTCGTGGGGGGGGTCCTGGAGGCCCTGGAGAGGAGCCCTGGGCGCTTTGCAACGGAGCCACGGCTCAAGGGGGTCCTGAGTGTCATCTCTGAGGTACTGGGGACCCCCCAAGGGCTGGGGAGGGGGAGACACCCCCAATTGTGGGGCTGGGGGTGACTGTGGTCCCCCTAACCCCCCAAAACCAGGAGCTGGGGCATGTCCCCCTTTATTACACTCTGGACGGGCTGAGCAGCACCATCCGCAGCAACACCCCCTCCCTGCTGCAGCTCAGGTACAGGGATCCTCAAACCCCACCCTGGGGCACCCCCTGACCCCACTGTGCCCCTCCTGACCCCCCTGTGCCCCCAGGTCCGCCCTCCTTCACGCCGGGTTCCAGGTGTCTCTATCCCATGCCTGTAAAAACGCCGTCAAAACCGACGCCCCTCCTGCGGTGCTCTGGGACATCATGCGTTGCTGGGTGAGGAGGGGACTCCAGGACCCCCCAGGGACCCCCCAAAATCTGGGCTGAGCTCAAACCCCCACTCCCCACACCCCTTTTCCCAGGCAAAGCTGCACCCGGTGAAACTGGAGCGGCTCCCGGACACGAGCCCAGCCGCCCGGATCCTCTCCGTGGAGCCCACGTAGGACCTCCCCAACCCACCCCTGAGCCCCCAAACCCCCTTGAGCCCCCTTTTAACCCCCCCAAATCCCCTCTGTGCCCCCCTTAAAGGCTCCAGGCTTCCTTCGCCCTCCGGGATGATGCCAATCCCAGCTCCCGGAAACGCGGCTTGAAGAGGTTCCCTGAAAACCCTGAAGCCTTTTGGGGTCCCAAGGCCAGAGCCAAGGCAGGGTGAGGGGCTGGGGGGGGCTGATTCGGGGGTTCAGCTTCCCCCTTTCATTCCCAAGTGGGATATTCCCCCTCTTTTTGCCAGGAATTGGGATCAGATCCCCCTAAAAGGGGGGAAGGGACAGGTCCCTCACTCTGTCCTTTTTGGGGGGATCCCCAGTTCTGTCCCCCTTTCCAGGGGAGACCCCCAGCTCCCTCCCTTTCCTGGGGGGTCCCCAGCTCACACCCCCCCCTCCACTCCCTAGGGGGGGCGTTTCCCCTTCCCTGCAGGAGAAGCGGAAGCGGCTCCAGAACAAGCGGACGGAGCGTCCAGATGGGGCTGAGCTCAAACAGTTCCCCTGCAAACGGTTCAAGGAGGTGGGGGGGCCCAAAATATAGCGGGGGGATCCCAAAGTATCAGGGTAGGAGTCCCAAAACACTGGGGAGGGGGCTGGGAACAAAGTGGGGTGCAGGAACGCAGGGGGAGTTTGGAATCAAGGGGAGGAGAGTCTGGGAACGTGTGGGGGGGGTCAGGAATAAGAGTAGAGGGGGCTGGGAATAAGGGGGGGCTGTATGGGAATTATGGGGAGGGGGTCTGGGAATATGGGGAGGGGGGAGTCTGGGAACACGGGCTGGGGGGGTCCTGGAACATGGGGAGGGGTCCATGAATAAGGGGGTCTGGGAATGAAGAGGGGGGGTCATGGGGCAGAGGTTGTCACAGCCCCCTCCTCATACCCTCCTTCCCCCTCCCCCCACAACAGGGCACTTGCTCCCGGGGTGACCAGTGCTGTTACTCCCATGAGGAGGGACCCCAAGACGCCCCCCAGCCCCCCCCCCAGCCCTGACCCCCATTAAACAGTGTCTGATAAAACTCAGGGGCTTTAATGCACTTTTTGGTGAGGGTAGGGGGTGCGAGGGGGGTGGCTCAGGGTCCCCCCGGCCCCGGGTACCGCACGGTGACCTCGAAGGTCCGAATCTGCATTGGCTCAAGCGTCACCCGGCGTGGGTCCAGTCTGGGCACTCTGGGGGGCTTTGGGATGCCTGGGAGGAAAAGGGGTGGTGACAGGAAGCCAGGACCCCCCCCAGGGCCCCCCCCGGACCCCCTGGTACCTGTGGCTGTGGTCCAGAGCAGGCGGGACACGGATTCAAGGGGGACATCCCCCCCCAGGGCCATCTCCCGCAGGGCCGTGATGGTGAAGGCTGAGAACAGGGTCTGGAAGGGGCACAGCCCTCAGAGACCCCCTAAACCTGACCCTGCACCTCCCCCAGCCCACCCCATGGCACAGGGGACTGTCAGGGACCACCCAAACCTGTCCCCCAAACTCCTGAACCCCCCCAAGTGTCAGAGACCCCCCCAAATCCCCATCCCACCCCATGGTGGGGGCAACCCCCCAAACCCAACCCTGTGACCCCCACCCACAGGACCCCCATTGCCCTCCAGGACCCCAAGCACTGGCCCCAGGATGCCCAAACCCAGCTCAGGACCCCCCTTGCTCCCCCTGGAACCCCCTCACTGTGATGTCGAGGGTCTCTGTCCCCCCTTGCTCTGACAGGTGCTCGAGGCGGAGCAGGAGAGTCCCAGTGTCGTCCCCCGGGGCCACTGTCAGCAGGTGCAGGTGCGGGGGCAGTGCCCGGCGGAGCCCCGAGAACTGCATTGTTGGGGGGAAGGGGTGAGCCTGGCAGACAACCCCCCCAGCTCACCTGGGGCAGGTGAGACCCTGCAGACCCTCCCACCTCACAAGGCCCTGCAGATCACTCTCCTCTCACCTGTCTCAGGTGAACCCCCCCCAGTCCCCGTGTCTCACCTGTCTCAGATAAGGCCCCTCTCCTGGTGCCAGGACCAGGTGGGGAGGTGTCACCAGCTCCTGTGCCCAGCCCCGGTGCCCATCAGGCGCAGCCCCCGCGGGGTCCAGCAGCACCAGATGCCTCCCCCGGACCACCAGGGGCTCGTCCAGGGCCTCCCCCACTCCCCGCTCGTCATCGTGCAGGAGCCGCCGGTGCACCTGGGGGAACAGGTGAGGTCCCAGGTGTGTCCCACCCCCATGGGGACACCACTGGTGCGCCTGGGGGGACAGGTGAAATCCCAAGTGTGTCCCCCGCCTCACCATGAGCTCTAGGGCCCCATCCTGGATGCTGCTCCCACCCTGGGAGCGATCTGTGAGCACCGACAGCTGCAGCTTCTCATCCTGGGGAGGGGAAAGGAGAGAGAAAGGGAGAAGGGAGGGGGTCAGCTGTGAGGGTCCCTGGGTGTGGCCCCAGGTGTGCTGAGCCCCGCCTTGGGCCCCCACAATGCAGTACCTGGATGAAGATCCGGGTGTTCACGGGATAATAATTCCCAGCCACTGGCTCCGTCTGGCTCAGGTTCCATGTGGGCCTGTAATCCCTCCTGGCAGGGGGCACAGGGGGGTTGTGGGGGTCTTGGGGGTTTTGGAGGATGGTTCTGTGGGTCTTCTGCTGAGCCCCCCCCAAACCTGCGCTCCAGGATCTGGCGCCCGTTGGAGTCGGTGAAGAACCTCCCAGCCGTGGCCAGCGGCGTCTCGAAACGCGTGATGACCTCCTTCCCCACGCTGTCCCTGGGGGGGCAGGGGGCTTAGGGTTTCAGGGGAGGTTGGGGGTCTCCAGGGGTGTCAGGGGTCCCCGCTCACCCCACGGGGATGGGCCCCAGAGTCCACTCGAGCTCCAGGAAGGGCTGCCCCGGGCGCAGCCGCACGACCTGGGAGCACCACGAGGAGAAGTTCTGGTGCAGCTCCTGCACCAGCGGTGTCTGAGGGAGGGACAAGGGGCGCAATCAGCACCCAGGGACCCCCCCCAAAGCCGGGGGAGCTCCCCAGGACCCTTCCCCACCTTGAGCAGGGCTGTGGAGATGTGTTTGGCCACTGGGATGGGCCCGGAGCTGGGCCGGAAGATGTAGGCGCCTGAGGCCTGGGGGCTTGCGGCATCCCCGGCACTGGCTGCATACCTGGGGGGGCAAAGGGAGGTCAGCAGGGACCCCCCATTGAGGGAAACCCTCCCCTCCTCAGGAACCCTCCCCCAAACCTCAGCAAGGACCCCCCAAAACTCAGCAAGGACCCCCAACCTCACCAGAAGAAGTTCTGGAAGACGGGCAGGGAGACCCCCTTGTCCAGGTTCTGGATCTCCCTCAGGTGCCCCGTGAGGGGGTCGAACAGGACCCGCAGGTGCTGGTGGGTGGAGAGTGGAGAGTCACCTCCCAGTCCTCCCAGTTCCCCCCAAACTGGTTTAAGTGGGACCTATGACTCCACTGGGGGTTCATTCCCCTGCCCAGGGATCACCCCCCATAACCCTGAACTGTGCCCCCTCAGCACCCTTTCTGGGGGGTCTTTACCTCATTCTGGATCTCCAGCGGCCCTGACTCCTCCGAGACCCATTTGGGGGGGTCCAAGGGGCCCTCCCGGCTCAGCTGCTGGACCCTGAAGGTACTGAATCCCAGCGGGGGGGCAAAGGCCTGGAAGAGCAGCTCCCCCTGGGCCCCCCCAGCCCTGCCCTGGAGCCGGCGGGTCACCCCTGACACTGGGACCACCTGGGGACACACAGGAGGGTCAGGGGAGCCAAGGGGGGTCTGGGCTCACCTCTCTGGGCAGAGGTTGGTCCTGTGGGGGTCTGGGCTTACCTGGCTGGGCAGGGGGTGGCCCTGGGGTCCATCACCTCGTAACATGTCCCATTGACTGGGAGCCGCACGGGCCACGACACGCGGTGGGCAAGGGGGTTGTAGAGGATCACGGTGAACTGAGGGGGATCAGGGTAGGGGGGTAAGGCCTGGAGGGACCCCACAGCGTCCCACCCAGGGTTCTCCCCCAGGTGCTCACGTGGGTGGAGGTCTCAGTGAGAGGGCACATGCTGATATTGAGGGCGTCACAGAACACCAGGGGGTCCTTGGAGCGCCCCAGGAGGGACAAAGCATTGGCCACCAGGACCTGTCGGGATGGGGGGCGGGCTGGGAATGAGTGGGGTGATTGCTGGGTCACCCTCAGCCCCCAGAACCCCCGCCAGGTCTCTTCTGCACCTCCCACCCATCCCCACGCCAGTTCAACACTCCCCACATCAGTTCTCCCCATTAACACAAAGCTGGTTGACCCCCCATGGTGTTCCCTGAACTTGTGCCCCCCCAACCCCTCCCATGCCCCCCAAATCCCCCTAGTCTCAGGGTCTTGTCATCAGTTCACAAACCCCCCCCCCAGTTCCCCCTGTGGGGGGGAACACCAGCCCCCACCATTAACATGATGGTGGCTGACACCCCCACTGTATTCCCCAACCTTGTGCCCCCTCAAACACCCCTGTGGCCCCCAAATAGTGGTGGGGGTCCCACCTGGCAGCTTGCCCAGCCCCCCGAGAGCTGCCGGGCATAGTCGTTGGCCACGTGCTGCCTCTCGGTGCCGGTCACAGCGTCGTGGTGCTGGGCCACGGCCATGGCCTCGCCTGGGGGGGCACGGATGGGGCTTGTGGGGGTCTCTGTATCACCCAGGGCGGTCTGGGGGTGCCTGGTCCCCTCGCAAAGGGTACTCACGGAGCACAGAGCTGTCCCCACAGCCTTGGGGACCCTCCCGGGCTGCTGGCCCCACCAGGGCCTCCAGCTGGCTGCAGATCTGGATGGGGGCAACAGAGGGGTTTAGGGGCGCACAGCGGGGCTTAGGGAGGCCCTGGGGCCCGGGATGGGCTCCCTCAATACCTGGGAGGGGGTCCCGGGCACCCAGAAGGGGATTTCCAAAGCCCAGAAGAGGTCCCTGATAACCTAGAAGGGGATCCCCAATACCTGGGAGGGTGTGCCCACTGCATGGGGGCATCCCTGGTGCCCGGGGGCGGGGTCCCTGACACCCAGGAAGGGGGCCCCAATACCCAGAATGGGGTCCCTGGTGTCCAGGGTGGGTAGTCCCCAATTCCTGGGTGTGTCCCCCATTCCTGGGGGTGTCCCCAGTGTCCCACCTGCAGGAAGCCCAGGCTGAGCCTCTCGTAGCCCTTGAGGGCCGGGCGGCTGGAGAAGAACCCGGCCCAGAACTGGTGGGGCCCATCCGAGTACGGCAGGAAATCGTCTGTCTTGAGGGGCCTGGAGAACACAGGGGACGCACCTGTAACACCTGTGACACACCTGTCCCTCTGTCCTACACCTGCCCCCTGTCCCCGTCCCTCACCAGGTGAGGTTGGCGCGGTGCAGCTCCTGCAGGTAACAGGACGGGGTCGAGTACAGGGCGTGGACGCGGCTCCCGTTGGATTGCTGGGAGGGGGGGTCACAGGGTGGGTCATGGTGGGGGCTGAAGAGGGAGGGAAAGGGGAGGAAAGGGAGAGACAAGAGGGAGGGACAAAGGAAGAGGGATTAAGGGGGGGACACCCCCACAAAATGTGGGGTTTGGGTGGGCTGGGGGACACAGTGGGCCCCCTCACCTGGGCAATGAACATGTCCTGGTTCTTGAGCCTCAGGGACGAGGTTTGGGGGGGGAACAGGGAGGGGGCACAGGGGCTGTCAGGGGAAAGGTGGGGCACAGGGGACCCTCACCCGGGCGTTGACGTGGGCGATGAGCTTGTCCAGGTTCTTGAACCACAGATGGGCATTCTCGTAGTGGAAGTCGGAGCCCATGGTCATGATGATATGGTTGGTCCGGTACTGCCTAGCCTGGGGGAGGACACGGCTCAGGACCCCCGCCCTGGGGGGTCAGGGACCCCCAGGACTTTCACTGGGGGGCAGGGACCCCCAGGACACCCACAGACCCCTGGGAACCCCATTCCCCCACAAGACCCCCATTCCAGGGGGACAGGGACCCCCAGGCCCCTCACCTGGGGGTCACAGGCACCCCCCGAGCCCCTCTCGGGGGTCTGAGCCCCCCAGCCCCACCTGAGTGGTCGCTGCCTGCAGGAAAGATGAGACCACCTCGTCCACGTTGCGCTCAGGGCCATCCCCGTCCACCACGGGGGGGTCCGAGCAGAGCTGGTCCCAGCACAGCCCGGGGGGGGGGTTGTACATGTTGGGCAGGATTCCTGGGGACACAAATGTCACTCCCTGGCCAGGGCAGGACCCCTGGGGACAGAGAAGACATGGACTCGGGGGGGAACAGTGCTGGGGACGTGAGCTCTGGGCTGGGTCAGCCCTGGGAACTCAGAACAACCCCAGGGGGGACCCCCAGGAAGGGATGGGGTTTTGGGGGGTCCCAGGCTGTCACCAGTGGCGGAGGAGGGATGGAGACAGGGCAGGTTTGGGGGTCCCAGGGAAGGTTTGGGGGTCCTGGGGGTCTCCTGACCGGTGAAGATGTCAGCTGTGGGAGGGTCCAGGCTCGAACTCCCCCTCCAGAGCAGCTCCAGCTCCTGGTGCTGCCCCCGAGCCATCTTGTCCTGGTAGTCCACGCGGCCCAGGAAGAGCCCATCGTACCCCATCTGGGGGGGCATGGGGGGGGGGGGGTGTCACTGGGAGTCCCACAAAGAACCCGTCACAGACACCGGGGGGTGGTCAGAGGCAGTGGTCGGGAAGGTCCCCTGGGGAGTTTGGGGGTGCAGGGAGGGGTTTGGGGTCACAGAGGAAGGGTCAGGGAGGGGGTTGGAAGGATCAGGGGATGCACAGGGGAGGTTTGGGGGTCCCTGGGGGGGGTTGGGGGTCCCCACCTGAGCAAACTCAGCTGCCATCTCCCGGGAGTGCCCAAAGGGGTCGATCTGCCAGCCCACGCGGGGGGTCCCGCAGCCCCCGAAGTGGCGGCGCAGGAAGCGCCGGCCAAGCCCCATCTGCTCCAGGGTCCCCCCGTAATGGGTCGTGGCCTCATCACTCATGCACCAGCCCCCCCCCACGAACTCCAGCTGGCCTGGGGGAGAGCATGAGGGGGGATCAGCACCCCAGAATCCCTCAAGGGCCATCCCAGAGCCAGCACCACCCCCTACAAGGTCACTGGGTCCCCTCAGAGGTGCAGCCCCCCCTGCAACCCCGCCAAGGGCACAACCCCACTGAGCCCCCGCTCTCTCATGTCTCTGTGCACCCCGCCATGGTCACACAGACCCCACAGAACCCCTAAATATCCCTGTGCACACCCCCAGTGCCTCCCCAGGTCCCTTTGCACCCCCAGAACCCCTGAGAAACATTCCAGAGCCCCCCACACCCCGTGTCCCTCCCGATGCCACCGTGGCCCTCCCAGTGATCCCTCCCATCCTGGAGATCCTCCCAGTGCCCCCGTACCATGTTGGACGAGGTCCCTGACCCTGCTCTGCGTGGCCTTGTCCTGCTGTCCCCACCAGCGGGACAGAAAAGCCACCTCAGCGTAGACGAAGCGCCGGGCGGGGTCGGCCCCGAGCTCAGCCACCACTGAGTCCAGGATGTACTGGACCCCCGCGTGCTGCTCCCTGTTCCGCACTGAGGGGGCACGGGGGGGGCACAGGGTCATCACAAAGCACTAGGCGGGGGGGGAAGGACAGGGGCATGGGGACATCTGTGGGGGAACCCAGGTGACATGTCCTCCCCCTCGGTGCCCCCCCCACCTCCATAGTAATACTGGTCCACGGTTTTGAGCCAGCCGACGTCGTCATGGGAATGTGGGACCAGGTGAACGTTCAGCAGGTCGGGCCGGGTGGGGGGGCACGACTGGGAGGGGAGAGGGGCCCGGTGGGCTCAGAGGGGGCTCCCCCACAGCCCCCCAGTCCATCCCAATGCCCCAGTTCCCATTTCCCCAGGACACTCGGTGTCCTCCAGCCCCACCCAGTTCCCCCCCAAGCCCCTCCAGTTCCCCTTTCCTCAGGACACTTCGGTTCCCCCCGGGTCCCTCCCAGTGCCCCAGTCCCTCCCACTTTCCCCACTTCCCCTTTCCCCAGGACACTCCGGTTCCCCCCGGGCCCCTCCCCGTTTCCCCAATTCCTGCCAGTTCCCGTTTCCCCAGGACACTCCGATCCCGCTCCGGTTGCCCCTCGGCCCCTTCCAGTGCCCTATCAACCTCCTCCGGTGCCCCCCAACCCCTTTCAGTGCTCCCAGTCCACCCCAGTTCCCCCAGTCCCTCAGTTCACGTTTCCCCAGGAAACTCCGGTCTCTTCTCAACCCCTTCCGGGGTGCTGTCACCTCCCTCCATCCCCGCGTCCCACCTGATACCCGCAGCCCGCGGCCGCCGCCGCCCCGAGCAGGAGCAGGAGTAGCGGCGCCGCCGCCATGACACCCCCGGTCACGTGACCGCCCGTTCACATGACCCGGGAACCCCTAGCCCTCGAATTGGCCCCGCCCCCTGAGCGAGTGCCAACCAATGGGTGGCCGGGTGAAAGCCGCTCGGGCCACGCCTCGCGCTCTGATTCGCTGTGGCGCGCGCAGGGGGCGGGGCATAACGGAACGGTGCGAAGACAGCTCCTGCCGGACGAGGGCGGGAGCGTAACGGAGAAGAGCCAATGAGGAGGCGGAGCGCCGTGATTGACAGCTCGCGGGGAGGGCGTTTGCAACGGCGGGAACCGATGAGCAGCCAATGAACTCTAGCGGCTCCCGGAGCCCCGCCCCCGCCCAGCCGTGGTTGGCGGGGAGCGAGTGCCGAGCACTCATCTCCTCCAATGGGGACGTCAAGGAGCCGGTTCCCTCACGGCGGCGGGGGGGGGGGTAATGAGGGTCCTAGAGGCTCCGGGCCCCCCCAGGACCCCCAACCTGCCCCCAGATCCCCCAAACTCTCCCTGGATCGTCCCAAACTCCCCTGGGGCCCTCAGACTGCCCCCAAAACTGTCCCCCACCAAACTCCTCTGGAACCCCCAAACTGCCCTCACGCGCCCTTACACCCCCCCCCAAGTATGTACAGACCACACCAATGGCAGGACCACCTTTTATTGCCCCCTCTCCGATTCCCCCCATCACTGTCACCAGGGCGGGGACATGGGCTGGGGGTTCTGCAGGTAGGACATGACCACGGCCGAGATGGAGAGCCTGGAGGGGACACAGACATCAGCAATCCCCATGGCCCCCTGGCTCCCCCCGGAACTCCCCCGGGACTCACATGAAGCTGCTCATCATCTGCTTGGTGTCCTCAGAGCTGCGGGAGTTGGCGAAGCTGATGAAGGAGCAGTACACAGCGATCCAGGCGCACCACTTGAGCTGGGGATCCCCGAGACACCTCTTTTGAGACTCCCCTGAAACCCTGGGGAGGGGTTCTGAGCCACCTGAGACTCCGTGAACCCTCCCAGTGATCCTTTAGGTGAAGGAGCAGTACACGGCGATCCAGGCACACCACTTGAGTTGGGGACCCCTGGAAGCCCCCTCGAGAACCCCTGGGGATGGACCCTGAGACCTCCAAGATCCCGCGGGGATGGGCCCTGACACAACTGAGATCCCCCTGCCAAGAACCCCTGACACCCCCTGAACACCCTGGGAACGAGCCCTGAGACTCCCCTGCAGATGACCCCTGTCCCCTCCAAGCCCCCTCAAGGGACTATCCCTGTGTCCTCGCCCCGGAATCCCCCCAGGGACGGCCCCCAGCCCCCCAGGCCTCCTCTCCCCCGGGCCGATCCCGATGCCCCCCCGCGCTCCCACCTTGAGCATGAGCCCGCACATGCTGAACACCATCCCCAGCAGGTTCATGTAGTCGGGGGTCGGGTCCTCCAGCGCCGGGTTGGTCTCGGTAGCGGGGGGCTTGTACCTGAGAAGGTGGGGGGGGCACCATCAGGGCCCTCGGGGTCTGTCCTCGGTCCTCCCGGTGTCCCCCTAGGTCCTCCCGGTCCCCTCCGGGTCCCTCTCCCGGTGCCCTCCCGGAGGTATCCCCGTTTTTTGCCTTGTGCCCCCCGGTCCCTCTCTAGTGTCCTCCTCCTCCTGCCGGTCCCCACCCCAGGCCTCCCGGGTCTTCCCCGGCCCCACCTGGCCACCTTGCCGGGTCTCCGCGGGTCGGCCATGGCCCCGCAGCCACCACCACCGCCTCTTCCGTTCCCCGGTACCGCCCCGGTGCCGCCCCCATCGCCGGTACCGCCCCCGGTGCCCTCCCCGGCCCGGCCATGGCGTTCCCGAGGCCGCGGCCCGCCCGGCCCGAGCTGCCCCGGCAGCGGGTGCGGACCCTGCAGTGCGGGCAGGGAGCGGTGCGGGCCGCCCGCTTCAACGGTGAGACTGCGGGGAGGAACCCGGCGAGGGGTGGGGATCAGGGGTGGGGGAAACCGGGCACAGCGTTTGGGGGTCGCGGGGGGCTCATACCATTTCCTGGGCAGGGGGTGCCCGTCTTTGGGCTCTCGGGCAGGGCGTGCCCGTTTCTGGGGATCCCGCAGTGGGGTCACCCCCTTCCCCCCCCAGCCGACGGGAACTACTGCCTGACGTGCGGCAGCGACAAGACCCTCAAGCTCTGGAACCCCCACAAGGGCACAGCCCTTCGCACCTACCAGGGCCACGGCTACGAGGTGCTGGACGCCGCGGGGTAAGGGGGGGCTGCGGGGAGCCCCCTGCCCTGGGGACCCTTCCCACCCCACTCACTGCCCCCCGCCGTGTCCCCCCAGGTCCTTTGACAACAGCCAGCTCTGCTCCGGCGGTGCCGACAAGGCCGTGGCCCTCTGGGATGTGACCACCGGGCAGGTGGTCCGCAAGTACCGGGGGCACGCAGGGGTGAGCCCCGCGGGGGAATTTGGGCTGCTGGGGGATAAAAATTTGGGTGGCTCCCAGGGAAGAAAACGGGGAGTCCAAGGCACTCACTCTCCCCTTCTCCCATAGAAGGTCAACTGCGTCCAGTTCAATGAGGAGGCCACTGTCATTGTGTCTGGTGAGGGAGCAGTTTGGGGGGGTCCCCTGTGAACCCCCAGACCCCCTTTTTCCCCCCAGGACCCCCCAAATATCCCCTGACCTCCCCTTTCCCCCCCAGGCTCCATCGACTCCACGGTGCGGTGCTGGGACTGCCGCTCCCGCCGCCCTGACCCCGTGCAGGTCCTGGACGAGGCCAAGGACGGCATCTCCAGTGTGAAGCTCTCGGCCTACGAGATCCTCTCGGGGTGAGGGATGGCCTCCCCCTCACTGGAGACTCCTCCCCAAATTGAGGAGCCCCCACAATCACCCCCCTTTGGTCCACAGCTCTGTGGATGGACGTGTCCGGCGCTACGACCTTCGGGCAGGGCAGCTCTACTCTGACTACATTGGGAGTGAGTTTCGGAGGTGGGAGGGCTCTGGGGGCATTCCCAAATTGGGGGGTGTCCTAAAGTGATGAGAGAGCTCCTAAAGTGGGGAGGGTGCTCCTTTTCCTCCCCTCCATGTTCCTGCAGGCCCCATCACCAGCGTGTGCTTCACCAAGGATGGGCAGTGTGTGCTGGTCGCCAGCCTGGACTCCACCCTGAGGCTGCTGGACAAGGACACCGGGGAGCTGCTGGGCGAGTAAGTGCCCTCCTCAAACCCCTTCCTACCTCTCCTGGGGGCTCTGCAGACCCCTGTCTCACCCCCACCCCCTGCCCAGGTACACGGGACACCGCAGCACCACGTACAGGCTGGACTGTGTCCTGAGTGAGCAGGACACGCACGTGGGCTGTGCCTCTGAGGACGGCCATGTATACTTCTGGGACCTGGTAGAGGTGAGCAGGGGGTCCTCAGGGGGCTTTGGGGACCCCCCCAGCCCCTTGCTGACCCCCCTGTCGCTCCCAGGGCTCACTCGTGCTCAGCCTGCCCGTGGGCACTGGGGTGGTGCAGTCCTTGGCCTTCCACCCGCGCCTGCCCTGTGTGCTCGCGGCCACCCAGGGCCAGGTGATGCTGTGGAGGGAGGAGACCTTCCAGCCAGAGGGAGATCCCGACACCTGACAGGGCTGCGGGAGGTGTTCGAGGGGCTGAGGACCCCCTGGGCTCCCCTGGAATGAGGAATAAACCCCCTTGGGCGAAGACCCCGCTGTGGTTTATTGGGAGCTCAAATAAATACAAGCAGTGGGGAGGGGGATGGGCACAGGGGGGACACAGGGACACGGGAGGGCAGGTGTGGAGAGCTCCTGTACCCCCCCAGAGGGTGTCACCCCACTGTCCCCCGCCCTGGAGATGTGTGGGGGTCACCCCTGAGCTGGAGAGTCCCTCAGTGCCCCCCTGGCACCGGGAAGGCGTCGGCGCTGCGGGCAAAGGTCTCAGCCACCAGCAACGGGAACACCAGTGAGGCATCAGCATAAACCTGCACCAGAGGAGGGGGTCAGGGGGTTCTCCCCTTCCAAATGCCCCCATGCTTCCGCCCCAGACTCCTCTGGACCCCCCCACCTTGACGGGGGTGGCATCCACGCGGATCTTGCCCCAGGACACGGCCTCGTCCGGCCGCGCACCCGAGTCAGAGCCGTCGAACTCCTGCGCCGTGTTCACGTACACGGAGAAGTCAGCGCCATTCCGCTTGGGGGGGACACATCTGTGAGTCCTGGGGGTTCTCTGCGTCCCCTCCCCACCCCTGGGATATCCCCAGTCCCCTCACCATGAGGTTGGCGTTGGCGATGTGGTGCTTGACCAGGCCCCCACCCAGGATGATCATCCCAGTCTTGTGGGCGAAGATGGCCTGGGTGTTGATGAGCCGCAGGTCTGTGGGCACAGAGGGGGGGGGTCAGGACACCTGGAGACCCCCCAGAAATCCCAGAGGGGACCCCCTGGGCAGGTCACTCACCCTCCACAATGTCCAGCACCAGCCCTGGGCGCTTGTAGGAGTGGAAGAAGATCATGTCCCCGAGGGAGCCATCGGTGAGCGCCGGGCTCAGCACTGGGATGTTGTTCTGAGAAGGGGGGACACAGTGACATCCCCGGTGACACCCCCAGAGCCTCCCAGTACCTCCCACTGTTCCCCAGTACCTTCTGGGCCCAATAACACACTGACTCAGGGTGGTTGATCTCCTTCCCCAGCCGTGCGATCATCCGGGACGGTGTCCACTGCACACCCTGGGGGGAACCCAGAGTCAGGACCCCAGGGTTGGGGTGTCCCAGGACCCCTCAAACCCCACCCAGAGCCAGGGGCAACTCAGATGTCTGAGGACCCCACAAATCTTCCCAGGTGGGTGTGTCGCCCTCACCTGTGTGTCCTGCTCCTCCACCATCTGGTCCAGGATGGGCATCAGCCAGTCCTCAAACTTGCAGTAGTTGTCGTTGGGCACCAGCAGGTTCCCGATCCTGGGGGACCCCAAAATGACTCCGAGGTGAGCCGAGAGGTGGCCCCAGAGGGGTCCCCAGCCCCCCAGCCCCGCCCCCCAGACCTGTTGATGCCATTTTCCCGCAGGTCCCGGCCCCGCAGGTGGAAGTCTCCGATGTAGGTGGGTGCCAGGCACTTGATCAAGTCCTCCTCCACCCCCCCTGCCGTGGTCACCAGCACGTCCACCTGCACAGGGAGGGGCTCAGGGCCCTGGGGACACCCCAGGGACACCCTAGAGACCTCGAGGGACACCCAGGGATCTCAGGGACACCCTGTCCCCCAGGTGTCCCTTGTCCCCCTTATCCCCATTCCGTGCTCTCCCTGACCGCGGAGCTGTGTCCCCATGTGCCCATCTGTCCCAGGTGTCCATGTGCCCAAGTGTCCTCCCCATCCCTGCTCTCCCCCCGCCCCCCTCCCTGCTGTCCCAGGTCTCCCCCCCATGCCCCCAGTGTCCCCCAGTCACCATTGCGTGCTGGACGAGGTATCGGATGCTCTCCCTGACCCCGGAGCTCACGAGGTTGGAGGTGAAGCCCAGGAAGATGGTGCAGCCCGAGGGCGGCCGCGGCCCCGCCAGGGCCCCCCGGTCCCGCTGCTCCGGAGTCAGGGGCTGCAGCTTGGCCGAGATCTGCCGGGAGGGACGAGGGCTGGGTCACACCGGGACCACCGGGATACCCCCCAGGATCCTCACCCGGCCACCCCTCCCCGCGATGTGACTCACGGGAACGGCCCTGGGACCCCACCGCGGGACCTCCCGAGGGACTATCCCCCGTTTGACCCCTCTCAGGACCCCTCTTCCCCCCGTGTGCCCCCCCTGTGCCCGCACCATCCTCTGGATCTCGGCCACGGCCCGCGCGAAGCTCGTGGCCTGGAAGCCGGTGGTGCGGAAGGAGCGGAGCAGCTCCGCCAGGTCGGGGCCGCTAGCGAAGTCGTACCCGCGCACCGGCAGCGCCTCGGCCGGCAGGGCCCCGCTGGGCCGCAGCACGGCCCGGAGCGCCTCGGCCGGGGGGTGTCCGGGGCCCGGGGTCGGTTCCGGGGCCTCCCCCGGAGCCTGTACCGGGGCCGCCATGGCTCGGCCGGGCCGCTCAGGACGCCGCCATCTTCGGCCGCCCCCGCCCCCCCGGGCGCCTGCGCGCCACATTCTTGGGCCGCCTTCCTGTGCCGTACAGCTGGGAGCCGCCATCTTGGTTCCTCCACTGTTGTACGCCCGCGCACCGCCATCTTTGCATTACGGCGGCAGCGGAATGACAAGAGTCGCGCAGACGCAAACGGCCTCGGTGCCAAGAGAGCCCCTAAACCTCCACGACGCCCCCCCTCGAATTCACCCCAAAAGCCGCGGGGGCACACAAATTCGGTCCAGTCCAATCCTTTAATACAACCAACAGCTTCCAGCCACACCCATACTCCGGATCCGGGTCCGGCTTCCCTTGGGCGTGTGTGGGGGGGCTCGCGCTGAGCCCCCCTCCCCGGCAGGAGGGATCCCCTTGGCCCTGAGTCAGGTCCGGAGCCTCCAAACCTCGACCGAGAGCCCACCTGAGGCCGCGGCCACCACGTCCCCATCCACACTGATCTGAAGGGGCACAGGAGGGTCAGGGGGGCACCAGTGCAGGGGTGAAGGGGGGGTACCTGTGTGTGGGGGTTACAGGGCAGGGGCAGCCCCTCACCCCGTTTAGGACGTCGTCGTGCGTCCAGGAGCAGATGGTGCGGGGGGGGTCGGTGGGGATGTGGATCTGCAGGGGAGGAGGGAAGTGATGGTGGGAGCCTCCCCCAAAACCCCCCAGGGGGAGCAGCAGCCCCCCTCAACACAGTGAGGGGATCTCCAACACTGGCAGGG